GAATGGCAGGCGACGTGGGGGGTGTCTGGCCCTGGTGCAGGGTATGAGCAACATATGAGAGAAGAGTCACGGAGAGCGAAGCTGTCAGAGCCGCCAGCATGCGTGCTCGTGCCGCGGATCGTGATTCGACCAGGACGCCCATCGTAGCAGTTCATGCGCGTGGGGTCGGGGCGACTGTAGTGGACGCGCATCGTGATGTCGACGGGCGTCATGCCGGGCATTTGCTTTTCTTTGTTATTCCTCCCCGGTGAAAGTATCTTTCGAAAAGGGCACTTCGGATACCAGTGGTCAAGAAAAGACGCCATCACAGAGCCGCGAGTGACAGTGTGAGCAGTCCCGATTCTGTCCTCGGCGATCCGTGGTGGGGGAGCAAGGGCCGTGCGGGGTCCGACGTGCAAGTGGGGTGCGAAGGTGGTTAAGTTCGTGATACTGGTCGAGCTCGGATAATCATGCCGGAGTGAACGGTAGTTGATAACGGTCTTTTGAATCGTGTTCTTTGGTTTGTGATAAGTCGGAGGGAGCGGTTTGGTGTATAGTAAAGCGAAATATTAGCCCCGTGTGAAGGTGAATGGCCTCAAGCGAGGTGACCAACTCTGCATATTTTGTAGGAAAGAGGAAATAAATATTCCGTAACGTGAATGATAATTACAGATGTGAAATTTGAGTTAGCAAATAGAGGCGAAAGCAAATTTGCCAATCGTATAATAAAAAATGAGAGAAAAATAATACATCCTGAATTATGGAAGCACGATGCTCGTGAGTAAAACACATAGGGCCAAACATGGTATGTGTATGACAGCATGCCTTTTAATGCGTAAGAGTCTAGATGTGTACGTAGTGAGAATTTGGATATGGGAGGATAGAGAAGCATACCTGTAGCAGAGGGGGGGGTGGGGGTGGGGCGAGGGGAGGGGTGATGAGAGGTTTCATGTTATCGTGTTCAGCCCGATGTGGCGTTCATCAATATATCTATGAGTATATATATATTAGGGTAAATTGATACAATATTAATAGATAGGTATACTAATTAGATAGAGTAAGTATAGATAGGTAAGTAGGGTAGTAGATCTGAGTACTGATGATAGTATAAGGTAGATAGCGCTATATTTATGCGTGTATGGGGTTACGTAGTGAGTATGTATAGGTAGTAGTATAGTATACATACATATCATACATACATATTAATATATATATATGAGTGGCGTATAGGGATAGTAGGGTATACGTATACCACGTATTATGAGTTAGTCATACGTAGTAGGAGTGAGATAAATATGATAGGAGGTGCGAGTATGTGCTGGTATGTGGTGATATATGTATGGGGTAGTATAGTATAGATGTAAGTTATAATTTAGAGAGGGTATCGATATGTTATAGTATTATATATATGTGTGTCGCTGCGGAGGTGGACCTGAAGGAGGGGAAGGGGGTCCGTTGGGCAGGTGGGGGGGTGGCGCCTTGGGGGGGGGTGTGTGGGTGTGTCGGGGGGGCAGGTTAGCGGGTGTGTGCTGGTGTGGTGTGTGTGTCGTTATGTGGGTCTGTGTGTGTTGTGTGTCGAGTGTTGTGTGTGTTCGTAGTAGTAGATATATGCGTAGTATCATGACGAATAGATACGTATATTACAGCATGTACTATATATGGTGAGTAGGTGAAGGATACTATATGTAGTGATAGGTATTGCATATAGGTATTCTTTATATGTATACTATACATGTAAGTAGGGTATAGTAAGGTAGATATATAGTTAATAAGCAGCGATACGATACATCATGTATAGAGCAGCGGTAGGTAGGGTATAGTTATAGCGTTTACACATATATTCACATACTCACCAGCTACACTCACACACACATCACATCACCACACGAGCACACAACACCACTACCACGAGCACACACACACACAGCACACGATCACACACATCTACAGTGTATGATTATGTGTTTGTGTGAAGTATTATATATTAGAGTAGTGAAATGTAGGTTATATAGGATTTGTGGTAGTTATATAGGGGGGTATTGTTTAGATTTATTACTACGTAGGGTATACAGTATATTATGTAATGTATATATATTATATTATAACTTGTATGGTAAGTTAGAAGAATAGGGTTCGATATATTAGGTATATATGGATTAGATGTTAGGTATATAGTGGTGGTTGATCACTGATGATATGATGGATGATGAGTATGTTTAGGATATAGTTTCTCCTGTTTATAGTATATACGGTATAATTGTATAGGGGTATATAGTGTATATAGATTAGGATTGGATAGGTGAGTTATAGTACCAGAGGGTATAGTATACAGTGTGTGTGTTGTGTGGTGTTGTTGTTGTGTGGTGGTGGTGTGAGGGGATTACGTTAGTACGATGGTATGTTAGGGACTGATATATAGGTGTATATAGTTATATTATATTAATATTAGTAGGTATATATATATATTTATATATATAAATATGTGTGTGTGTGTGTGTGTGTAGGGGCTGTGTGTGTGTGTGAGAGTTTTGTGTGTTGGTTGTTGTGTATACATTATTATTGCCTATTAATATATTTATATAATATACTATATAATATATATATTAGTACTATATAATGTGTTGTGTGATGTGTGTGCTGTGGTGTGAGTGTGCGTGTGTGTGGTGTGTTTGTGTAATACTAGATATGATAGTAATATATAATATAATATATACTAAATATATAAATAAGAATAGAATGAGTATAAGTGTAGTGTGTGTGTGTGTGTGGTTTGTGGTGTGGTGTGGTGTGTGTATAATTATATATATATATTTATAATATATATAGTAAACTATAATTAGGATATATAGTATGTAGAAAGTATTATGATGTGTGTGAGTGGGATATTTGGTTTGTGTTGTATATTATATATATATATATATAGTATAGGTATAACCTATATATTAGTTTATATATATATATATATATTGTGTGTGTGTGTGTGTGTTTGTGTGGTGTGAAATCGTAATGCTGTAGGTCGTGCTGTGTGTGTGTGCCTGCACGTATATAAATATATATAATTATATAATATAGTATACTATATTTACTATAGTATAGTAATTATATTATATAGGTATATGTTCGGTGTTCTATGTATAATTATGACATATTCATTTGTGATGTACATGTACTTTAGAGCCTTTATTCGTTTGGTCTATACATAATAGTTAACCCGTAAATGTTTTAAGAAAACGAATTTATAACGATTCAGATCAGAAAACGAATATCTCTCTATGGGGGTCTTTCGAGTATGGTAACTGCCTCAAATATATCTTGAGAGAGTGCACATTAGGGCATCTCATTAAACGTTTCCCTCTAAAGCCATGAATACAGAAAATTATTTATATTTCTTATAATAAATAGAGCAATATGTTCCTGGCACTTCAACACTAGCAAAAATTGATGGTATTGGATATTTAATTAACAGACTTATTTTTACTGAATATCTCTTGGTGATTATTTCTCTCGAAACGCCAGAATCTCTCAGACGACTTATGTTAATTATTGTCTCCCTTCTAATATGTTTATCATCCTGGTATGTCAGGTCAGTTACTGAGTTTTTCTTCATTCAGCATAATATACTAACGTGCTGCAAGGTTTGAGCTATATTATTCTGTTGTTTTTTTCCTGTGGATTATGACTTGTGTCCGCACTAAATGCTATCCAAATATTTAGATGATGGATTCTCTCTCTGACATTCGGCCTGGTTTGATAAATGAATCTCCTATTCTTTGTCTCTTGCTGATCAAGCAAGGTAAGATAATTCCGAACAACATATCTTACTCTTTATAAACTATCATATCACTTATCTATGAGCAAGAATTAAAAAAAAAAAAAAGAAAAAAAAACAGTAAAGATCGGACAAAATTCATAATTCTAACGACGATGCTTTACCCAGCTAAGCAGTATCGGTATTTCAAGGAAACTGATTGTGAATTTGATAAAGATCTCTTTTTTATTTCATCAAGTATCTACCTTAGACAAAACGATTTAGTAAAACGAAGCTAATTCTTAAAAAAAAAGTATTATAGTGTGTAAAAAGATGGCGCTGTTAGATGAGGAAAATTGATAAATAAAACAATGACAAGAAAACGGGGCTTCTAACTCAGCTCATTGAGGTCTTGAGGTCTGCAGAAATTTTGTTCTGTGTTCAATGATGTCCATGGAGAACAACGAGAGGAGAGGAATAAGAGTTAACACTGCAAATCTAGATGATCAAAGTTACTGTTGCTGAACGAGTCGGAAATATGTTTGTGGTCATTTTACTCTAGGAGAGAAAAGACCGTTAAACATTTTGAAATCAGCGAGTAGTTATATTCCTTCAGGCTAAAGTGCATAAGTTAACCATAGAAGCATCAGAGAAAAGAGGAAGAAGAGGAGAGAGACAGACGAAGTAGAAGAGAGCAAGAGAGAACGGGGATGAGGAAGCAGAGAAGAGAAGGAGAAGACGTAAGAGTTATAGGGAAAGAGAAGGAGGAAGGGTGATAGAGGGAAGGAGAGAGTTAGACACGAGGAAGAGAAAAGAGAAGAAGCGAAAATCGTTAAGAGGAATAGAAGAGAACGAAGATAAGAGAAGAGCCCGGGGTGATGAAGAGTAACGAGGAAAGAGAAGAGAGTGATAGTGGAAACGAAGAGTTAAAGTGAAAGCTGGTGACTCAAGGAAAGAAAGTAAGAGGAGACGTGCGGATATGAATGCAACCGCTCTGCAACGCCACCTAGGGTTCAAAAGTAGTACACGTCTCACGCAAGCAGACAAGTGAAAGTCCGATCGTCGGGGTATATTTCAAGTCATAATCCAAGTTTATTCACTTCTTTTTCGCTTGTTTATTTATAATGCGCATTTCCCCGTGAAATCAAATTCTCACGAAGGTTACAGTGAAATACATGTAAGTGTATCGACTGTGTGCTACTTGCACTCGTGATAATTCCACTTGTAGCGTTCGCTGGGTCTCTTGGCACTCTAAAAAAGGTACATGTAGTTTTGGACCGGTGCTCTCTGTGTGTCGAGCATCTATAATTACTGGTTCGTAGTTCGACTGTGTCTCTTGGCACTCTTCGTAATAATACGATGTCAGTTTTCGACTGTGTGTCTCTTGGCACTCCCCTAGTAATTCCAACATGTAGTTCGGAGATGTGTGTCTCTTGGCAATCTATAATCTATGTAGTTTTGTAATCGACTGTGTCTGCTTGGCACTCTCTATGAATTTCGATGTGAGTTTGCGACTGTGTGCTCTTGTGCAGCTCTCTTATAAAATTCATGCTAGTTCCACTGTGATCTACTTGGTACTGCTCTTTAATTCATGTGTACGATTTACGCGCTCGTGACGCCTCTCTGGCGCACATCGTACTAATTCATGGTAGTTTCGACTGTGTGTCTCTTGCACTCTATAATTCATGTAGTTTCCACTGTATGTCTCTTGGCCACTCTTGATATAATAACATGATGCTGAGTTTCGACTTGTGTCTCTTGGCTACTCTAGTAATGTCATGTAGTTTTCGAGTGGTCCTGGCCCGGTCTTCATAAGAATAGCAGTGTGAGTTATCGACCGGGTGTTCCTTCTTTGGGGCACTCTTTATTCATGTAGTTTGCGGACTGTGCTCTTGGGCACTCTCGTGAGTACATTCATGTAGTTTTATCGACGTAAGTCTCTCTGAGTTGCACCTCTCTAGCGCATCGACGTATGTCCTCGATGAGTTATATATAGACCTTGAGAAAGGTCTGGAGGAGGAAAGTGGTGCCTGGTGCTGTAGAAAAAGTGAGCCACCTGTTGTACATAGACTGTGGTGTGTAGAGAGTCGCCGGTGAGGGTCCTTAACCTCTGGCAGCCACACGCCTCCTTCAGGAATTGGTTCTTCCTTCCACGCCCCTCTTGCAACTTGAGATAAAATCCCCCCCTTTCTTCATCTTACTTCAGGTACTTCGGTCCCACACCCGTTGGCTATTAGAATAACAGTGGGTGATGCTTTCATGCTTTTATTTGGGATGGGGAATTCTATATCTTTGTGTCTTCTGTGTTAATGCCTTAAGATCTACGTCTTTTGTCATTTCGGAGAAGATTGCTTTTTATGATACATGTTAGCAAACTCTCTTTTCAAGGCAAGTAGCTAAATGTCTAATTTTATAGCTTGCATTGCTTCTATTTTGATATAATATTTTTCCTGATAATGAATTAACTGTTTTGATGGTCTGATCTAGTTATTTCTTAGTATTTAGCTACTACGTTTTATAGTGAATTATAGTCTCGGGGATACAGAATGAGATCTCTTCTTATTCGTGTTTACTGTCGTGAGTTAGCATTCCATGAGTTAGAATTTAATATTTTGTTTTCATGCCTATCCTATAAATCCATGCAGGTGTCATCGTTTGTTCCTTCTTATTCCTTATTATGCTCTCTGCGTTCTTTGATGTGTCTTTCGTCGCCAATAGGCCAGGATATATACTGCAAGTATACGGATCCTTCATTTCTATTGGTATTTTGCATGTAATGAGAGAACACAGAGCATACGTACACAGCGTAGCACAACAATTATGTAACTATGTGACAACACACGACTCACACACACACACACGACACCATCACACAACATTTCCACACCACACACACATAATACAACACACCACAACACACACACATACACGACACCACACACACCACACACACACAACACACTATATATCAACATGACGGCTGACTGACAAGTATATATAGAAATAAAATATAAGTCCCTCCGGAGGATTATATATATTTTATAGTATATATATATAATTATATTATATATTTATTATAATGATATATCTATATACCGTATCGCGTGATATAGAAAATATATTATGCCTAGATCCTTATCATGGTAAAATGTACCTTACATATGAGTATAGAAAATTATATAGTATTATCGCTAGTTTTCTATATATGATTTAGTGACTATATTATAAGTCAGTTAATACTATAATTCATATCCATATTAGTAGTGTGGCTTTATTTACTACCATATATATATACGCAGATTAAATTAATTACACTTAGTAAGGGACTGATAAGTAATATATATTATAATATGAAGTATAATATTGGATTTGTTTCTATTTATTTATATATATTAGTAATGTCTGATAATCATTAAGTATTTTAGTTCCTCTTGAGTTTATAGGAATAATTCATTATGAGTGAATATTAGTATAGACGAGATGTAGAGAGAGAGAGAGACTAGTAAATCAGAAAATAGAATATAGATATATATCTACATACATATATATACACACGTCTTCGTTTTTTTTTTTTTTTTTTTTTTTTTTTTGAGATGAAGCCAACAGGCGCACTTCACGCTATTTACTTGGAAACGCATCCTAATAGATAAGTGGTAATATGATGCAATAATGGGGTCCGGAAGCAGCTGCATTAACAAACACTTCAAGCACGGTTACGCCCCGCTTCTGCTTGATATCATGCACGCGGCCATTGGCAGATTAGGGGCTGTCGTCCAAGGGGTCTCGCAACAGCTGATAGTGCAATGGATCATCTTGAAAGGATTGGATTTGGTATTTGCAAATCCAAGGAGATTTTTTTTTTTTTTTTTTTTTTTTTTTTTTTTTTTTTTTTTTTTGCCTGCCTTATGACCATAGTCGTATTTCACGTGTCAAGCAATTCCGCCATTTCTCCTTTTACCTTGCAGTTATGTTCTACCCACGTAGATATGACGACATATAATGAAGATTGTTGTGGCCAGCGCAACCATCACATCCAATACACACCGTAATAAAATGATTAGTATTGATTAGCACTTACGGCTTCCGAGAACCCTGTGGTGTAATAAGCCAAGGTCAGGGCGAGGCAAAACATGTGAGCAACAGGAATATATCGCAACAGCTAATCATATTCATAATCTGTGATTGCATAATCAGTGTTATATGTAATCAGAGTTACTGAAGGTTTGATTCATGCTAATGTGGTTTATCATCATGTATATAGACAAGTTACAGCAAATGGTACATAACACCAGTGGAAATGAATGTATATGTAGTATGATTATGTTGCTTATCAAGTTGTAGATAGATAGATAGTGAGATAAAAGATTGAAATATAAATAATCGGTGATATTTTAATGAAAGCCTCATTATAAGACAGATTTTATAGTGTAAAACGCAAACGCCAAACGCATGGGTATTATTTATTAAAAGGGAAAGATGCCACAATAAAAATATATTTGGTGATGATAGACCCAATGGAAATAAAACCAGAATTAGCAATATTGATGAAATGATATCATAACCGGTGATGAAAATACCGATAGTAAGAATGAGGACAAGGGAATAAATGCAACTGATAATGAAACGGATGATAAGGATAATCAACAATGAATTAATAAGGACAGCAGCGCTCATGGTAATAATGATGTTGATAATGACGATGGCGATGATGATGATGATAGTGGAAATGATAATAACGATCACAATAGTAATAATGATAATGATAGTAACAATAATAATGATACTAATGACTATATCAATAATGATGATAATATAATGATAATAATAGTACTAATAACAATGATCATAAAGATGATACCATAATAATTTTGTTGCCATGATAATTATCATATTATCAATGTTATCATTGCCGTACTTACCAACAATACTATTACACTCACAATCATCATCATCATCACAGCCGTATTTGAAAAGACCTCATCATTTTTTTTGCCATGAATACGGTAAGCGAAGAACAGTGATGTGACTTTCACCATATTTGGCAAGATGTGTTAACCCTTTCCGACTCTCACTCCCCAGTGAGGTTGATGTAATGGTTTGTGTCTGTCTGTTGAAAACGCGGAGAGGGTTTTCCCGTAAGGCGCCCGGGGAAGGTGTTACTGTACAAGACACGAGGCTGGACTGGCAGGCGATCTTCGTTCACGTCACCGTACTGCCCCTGACCGCATTCGCTGCTTACGTCATCGTACAAGCTTCGAGAGCCGCTTTCTAAGAACTGTCTCGATCTCGGGCACGTATTCGTCTGGCGCTGGGACCTGGTATTGGGTACCACGACGTACAGGTAGTCTGGACCTTCAGCGTCGCCGGCAGGTATCAAAGGGGGGTCCGGGTATCGTCTAGGGGGGTCTGGGTATCGTCTAGGTGGGCTGGTCAGGGGGTAGGGGGCGACCGTGGTTCTCGGGCAGGGGGGGAGGTACAGGTTACCCTCCCCCGATCGCGATGAAGCTCCTGCACTTGCAATGTTGTTGTCATCTTCTACGGAGATCTGCGTCAACCGCAAGCTGGATTCTGCAATATCAAGGTAATCAAATATTCTTGGTCTCATGAGAGTATAAGGCGATCAAGTATAAAATCAGCGTTTTATGTCCTTTTTTTGAAATATCGATATACTGTATACGTACATAAGCACACATGTGTTTCTCTTCTCTCTTATATATATATATATATATATATATATATATATAATATTATATATATATATATATATATATATATATATATATATATATATACATACATACACACACACACACACACACACACACACACATATATATATATATATATATAATATATATATATATATATATATATATATATATATATTATATAATATTATATATTTATATAATATTTTATTTATTTATTTATATATATATTATTTATTTATTTATATATTTATATATATATTTATATTTTTTATATATTTATTTATATATTTATTATATATATTTATTTATTATATTTTTATATATTATTTATGTATTTATTCATTATTTATTTATATATTCATTTATTTATTCATTTGTATATTTATTCATATTTTATTTATATTTATATATTTATTTATATATTTATCTATATAAATATATTTATATATATATATATATATATATATTATATATATATATATATATATAATATATATATATATATATATATATTATATATATATATATATCCACACGCACACAACTTTCTATCTGTCTATCTATCTATATCTACACACACACACACACACACAGTATATGTCTCCTCGCGTGTGCATCTGTGTATGTATATATAAACACATATTTATATCTATCTGTCTGTCCGTGTGCTATTTGTCTGGCTGTGGATATTCTCCACACTAACCTGAACGTGTCCTGAGTCTCCTGTACAATACTATGACGATGAGGATGTTGATTAGCAGTAAGAGGCAAGAGGCAGCGATCCCCACGCCGGTAGAGGCCGCTCCCTCCGCCCCCACGACACGGACACTCGGATCCAAGTCCTCAACAGGAGGGCAGTGGGAGGGGTTCACGTGGCTCGGGCATCCCAGGCCCCTGGGGGTGAAGTACCACTCCGAGGAACCCCGGGCCAGAATGCTCACGCTGTAGAGGCTGTTGACCCAGTACAGGTACGAAGAGGTCTCGTAGAAGGAACAGGATCCGAGGCTGAGTTGGACGGCCCATTTGGACGCCCTCGCTCCGCTGGGGTTCCGAAGGGCGCGTACTTTCACCGCCTGCCAACACGACGGGTCTGCGGCGCACCTCTCGGTTGGAAAGCGCCTCGTCTCCTGCCCGAAGGTGAACGTCAGCTTCACGTCGATGTACTTCAGGTTCCTCCGACGAGTGTAAAGCGAGATGTCGTCCTTCCCTGTTTCCAGTACTTGGACTTCTGTGTCCGAGGCTATCGCTACATCAGGGTCGCAGGAAGATCTCCTCTGGCGGCCGGACTTTGAGCTAAGGAGAGTCCGGTTCTCACTCTTGGTGCCTATCGTAGTCATTCCATTTCCACATAGTACGTTTGTGAATAGTACAGTCAGTATACATATCAGGCACTGCATATTTGTCTTTATTTACTAGACACCGAATTTAATTATATTCACTTTCATATAGACAAAGCACTACTATTCTCCACGATTTTTCACTCTAAAGTCCGACGATAAGTATGGATGTTTGTAGACACTTCTTCAGAGTTGGCACTATCAACCCTGCGGCAGATGTGACAACAGTGACACATTTCAACTATCAACGGTCGAACTGTGGCGAGAGAACGTATCCTGAGTGCCAGCCGGATGTGCCTCACCTCTACCGCTGTTTCTGGCACTCACGCTGATTCATGCCATAGGAGAGAAATGTCGTGGGAAAGACCATCTGCTGTTTCTACGAAGATCTAGAGTGTCTGGGGGTTTTCTTTGTTATTTTCATGAAATCTACATGCAGTTTCTTTCCTACTCTCTCTCTCTCTCTTTCTTATATAGCTCTAGCATGTATCTATATGTGTTTTATATAGATTTAAAGACCGGGTTTACTTATAACCATATAAAATACTCTTGAACCATCAATGATTGGTAGTTGTTAAACGTTTTTGCATCCGCGCGTAGCTGGAAGCGTCAAAATTCACAAGAATCCCAAACGTTTAAAAAAATAAACATTTGTATTGCAGAGAGGATGTACGTAAAAGCCTAACTATAGATTTTACTTACATTTCCTCTTTCAGTTCAGTGACTTCGTAGCTTATTCATTACGAATACGTATCCATGCCCAATACTATCATACAAGTGATATGTTTCCAAGCTAAGAATATAAATCCTTCAAACCTGCCATTGGCCTTTAGTGTTACATCTCAATAGCTTTGGCTTTTACGCTTAACGCACTTATCCGAATGCTTATATAGATCATTGTTATTGTATCTGTTTATATTCTGACGGTTGCTTGACAGATAGCAACATGGACAGATAGAAACTGACGTGTAAATTGGCAGGCAGATTCATGGAGACAGTTGAAGGATACAAAAGAGACATACATTGCAATGCGCTGTATGCAAAATAGGATCCTCGCAAATATTGAAATATCACACTATGTCTAACTCTGTCGAGACCGAGACAGCGAAAATCTTATTCTCATTCATAAGGCTTTTTATATCAACCCTCGTTTAGAACGCGTGAGCTAAAAATAACTCGTTTTCTTCTCTAATTCACTTCTTGTTGTGTAAAGTGCTTGAGAACAGAACGTAACGCACTCAATAGGGTAAATGACCCCGAAAATGAGTTCATTCTCTCGTGCTGTAAAACGAGCCTGCTTGAAAGTGATTACGGCGGTCGGTTGGGGGAGAGGGAGCGCGGCACGGGCGTGGGCGGGGCGTGGGCGTGGGGTATCCGTTATCCTGTTACGGACGAAACTGCGTCGTGTCAGGCGATCGCTCGGCAGGCAATTGGCGTCGGGATTGAAGCGTTCCCTGATCGGCCAATGCTTATGGCGACGAGACACTGAGGCAAAGATTTCGGTGCTCGAGTGATATGAATGCACAAACTTGGTCGTTATAGTTGCGGAAAATGTCTCGTATGAATCGGGATTGCAAGGAACGTGAGAGAGCGCCAAATGGTAAGTGGATGTGAGCTGTGTGTATTCCTGTGTCAGATGGATTGCCCTCTTGGCAGCGTATCTAAATCACGTTATCATTTCAAGTAAATGCCTTTAATCAAAACACTGATTCCATTACCAACGTA